TTTTTTTTTTTTTTTTAAGCGAATTATGCTTTCAGCTTAGCTTGCTTTGCAATTTCCTTCTTCCCTCTTTTTAAATTATAGTACAAGATTTGGATTTAGGTTTGTTTTTCTAGATCTTCGTTGCTAATTATATAGGGAGAACGAGTTAGTGAAAGAGCGTAAGTGAGAAAATGGAGGAAAGTAGGTTGTGTCAGTGGAGTGTGATTCGATCCGTATTAGCCATTCTTCAATGGTGGGGTTTTAATGTCACTGTTATTATCATGAATAAATGGATCTTTCAGGTGAGTGATTTTTCCCTCTTCACATCTCGAATTTTCAATTCCTTATTTCTGTCATGTGTGGATTTCTTCTCAATTTTCCTGGTTTTCACTGTTCTCTATCTACTGATCCTGTTTTTATTTCTGTATTTAAATCACATTTCATTATGGTAGCAGTGGTTTTCAAATTACAATTCGGTTAGTACCTCATCGGGGTATTGATATCAGTAAATGCAATAACCATGTGCGCGAAACTTGGACTCAACAGGTGGTTTTTAGTCTTGGTGTTCAAACCAAGCAAAGTTGTAGCACGATCTTTGCTGGCAATTTGTCTATGTCTGTAGAGATTGAACTGGAGCTAGCTTATGTTTTGTCAGTATCTCCTTTGTTAAACAAAATTCAGGATAAGATTCGAAGTTTATCTCTTCTTATTTATAGCTACAAAGTTATTCTTCCTTTGTCGTTTGTATTGCTGAATGATCTCCTTTCCTCATTTCAAGTGGTGCCAATTTTCGGTTTATGAGCATTCCTTAGTGGAATTTGGGTTCTTGTTTTTGTATGTTGGACTATCTGAAATTTATTTATTCATGAATTTGCTTAATTGTTATACTGTGATGGGTGGTAGCCAGAAATGAAAGTACTCCTACTGTTCACCTTATCTGCAAATTTCTATTCGTTGTTTGCTAAAGTAAGTATCCTTCTTTCTGGAGTAATATTAGTGGTGGTGGGATAAATTAAAAGAAGTATGAATGGAAGACCAGATTTCAAATAGTGGTGTTTAACTGGTAGGTATTCGTGCTTGAATGCGTTTTACAATTTTACGATGACTAGGGTTGAAACAGTAAAAGAAGGAACTACGCATAAACAATCCCAGAATGACTGATAGGATTGACTGTCCTTAAGGGTTGTCATTTGTTATGCGGTCCTCATTCTTCCGGTGATTCAGAGTATTGTTTTAACCTTATATTAGCTACACACTTTCGAGCTTAGCACCAAAAGAGGCACATAGAAATGCATCAATTATATCGCCTCAAGCAAGGAGCACGACAGAGTCGTGGATTGAATTTCCTGACATCATAACCATGAACATCGTCTCCTCAAATTGAAGAACACTTTCTTCTATAACATGGTACCAGGCTAGCTTGCACGCACCTCAACTAATTTCACTGGGTACCTGCTACCTCCCACTAGTATAGTTACTGGGTAACTCTCTACCAAGGTTTAGAAATATGTGAAGAAATAACCTAGTGTTTTGTCTCCACTATGAATTAGAACTTGAGACCTCATGATTCTCTACCCACTTCATTGACCACTAGGCTACACCAAATAAGAACACATAAAGCAAGACAAAATGGAAGTCACTTTCTTGTCTAAAGATATTGTTTGCCTTTTTGCTTTATCTTTAAAAAACTTTATGTGCTTTGCTTCGTCTATGGCTGGTCAACACTAGCTACTGGAAATTATCAAATTTGTGGGAATGAATGTTGGCCTGCTAAGTTCCAGTATGTCCACAAGATGCTGTCGCGGAAATATTGATGTCAAGATGGATGTCCGATCATAAAAGATTAGACAAGATAAAAGGTGATCACATTCGGCAGAAGGTGCAAATAACACTCGTTGAGTATAAATGAGAGATGGTTGTTTAGATAGTTTGATCTTATCTAGCGTACATATCGAGATGTACCAGTTCGTAAATGTGAAATCATGATGGCTGAATATCTTAAAAGGTGGACGAAGTAGACCAAAAATCACCGTGAAGGAAGTTGTATCAAAGTATTTACTATCACTTTGAATCCATGGAGATTTTAGGGAAAATTAGGGGGAAAGGGGTTGCTCGGTGCACGAAGCATCCCGCATTCACGCCGGTTCATGGGAAGGGCCGCACATCAAAGGGTTTGGTCTTATGTAGGCAGCCTATAACGACGAAAAAAAGAAATCTATATAGGCGATATTAACTAGTTGAATTTAAAGCTTAGTCTTGTTGGCATGGTTATATTAGTGCAATATTTGCTAGGAGAATTAATCTGGTTGGGACATTTGTAGAAAGTATAAAACATAGAGTACTTCTAGGGTTAGAGAACTTAAATTATAATATATTTGAATGGGATGAGTCTAAATGGAGTGAAATGGATAGTGGCCACCCCCGTCAGCTTGGTATTGAGGCTTTAGTTGAGGTTGTTGTTGTATCGGTATTTCCAGAATGTACTTTGCTGTAATTATGATACTCCTGGAGCCAGTTTCATGGCAGGGTATTGGAGATTCGGTGTCAAATTTCTCAGAGGTGAATTTACATCTGATTATGTTTTAGGCTGTGATTATCTTGTGGTCCTGATCAACTGTGAAGGCTTCCACTGTGTACTAATTTGACTGCAGTAATTTGTTTTTTGGCTGTGGTCTATTCCCTTCTTTTAAAAGTGTTGCTTGTCGTGAAGCAATCCTAATTGGTTACTGAGGACTTGAAAAGAAGCATATCACTTTTAGAGAGGTATAGCCTGCATGAACATTTCCTACTTGCCAAAGCAGTTTCAATTCTAAGCTCCAGACTTTTTGTAGCCATTGAGCACTCTTGCCCATAGACTCTGCGCAAACATACAGTTTACAAACATGTGGTCTCTGGATTCATCCTGGGCTTGACATAGGACACAAGTTGGATTAACAGGTAGTCCCCATTTTATCAACCTGTTAGTTGTCAATAATTTACCTTGCAAATGTAGCCACATGGTAAACTTGGCCTTGGTCGAGCATCATTTTTGAACACCAAGCACTTCCATGGACTCGTGGACAGTCAGGTAATAGTTTCAGGTAAATGTTCCCGATCATACTATGCTTCTGTGAAGGAGAACATTGAACTTGTTCAAGCGTACTTCTAGCTCCTATAATCTGTCTAACCATCCATGATGCTTGTTGTGGCATAGTGATCTCATTCAAATATTTTCATCTCAAGTTAGTTGGAGATGATGCATGTTCTAGATGTTCAATAACTTGTACTTAATTTATCTTGTGTTGTTGGAGATATTGTTATCTCTTTATAACTTCTATTGTCAAGTGTATGAGGTATGGTCTGAAAGAACTAATAATATGTTGATCTTTTGTCCTTCGCAGAAAATGGATTTTAAGTTTCCCTTGACAGTATCTTGCATACACTTTATTTGCTCAGCCATTGGTGCATACCTGGTGATTAAAGTGCTAAAGCTTAAACCTCTTATTGTGGTTGACCCTGAGGATCGCTGGAGAAGGATTTTCCCCATGTCATTCGTGTTTTGTATCAACATAGTGCTGGGCAATGTCAGCCTGCGCTACATCCCTGTTTCATTTATGCAAACGATAAAGTCATTCACCCCTGCAACTACAGGTGATTTTTGGGTAGAGCATTTATTATTTTTTAATAAATAATTTATGAGACAAGCTTGTTGTGAAAAATGTAATAGCACACAACAAAGCAATTTAGCAATTCTTCATAACCTTTGCTTCACCCGTGTGCTTATATGTTTCGGGATATGGATTAGTAAATCTTTTAAGTCCATAAGTCATATTACAAACTTTTACATCTCATTGTGCTGATTTTTCCATTTCTTTCCCCTCTAACAATGGAGGACAACTGACTGCTATGTCTTTGGAACAGTTATTTTACAATGGCTAGTTTGGAGCAAGCACTTTGACATGCGGATTTGGGCTTCTTTGATACCTATTGTTGGAGNTTTGCAACTCATGATCAGAAAAATTACTTTTGTTTTTTACAAGGAAAAGGAATATCACATACGTAAAAAGAAATAACTAAGGAACTCAACCTCTTTATTTTTCTTTTTTCGGAAATTCACTCAGTTTTGCTAATCCTTGTCTATTACTAGCCTTTTAGAGGATAATATAAGTACTAATGAAAAGAATGTTTAAGATTATAATATAAAACTGTGAGGGAAAGACAGGGAGTCTGCAGTTATTCTTAAATTATATGTGTTTCATTTATCTCTAGAATTATCAGCAGGTTCATTATAATTCAGCAGACTAATTGGAGCCAAATTTGTGTTATCCATTTCTATTCTGTAGTTTATTTTCAAAACTCACATTGTATTTCAACTCAGAATATAGGCTTATGGCTTCTAAAACCTAAATCCTTGTTTACACAAAATCTTACAAGAAAATATAACAAGGCATTATCAGAATTGGAACTTGCAATGACATGTTAACCGTTTGTTCACCAGTTTGGGTCATTTCATTTTCGTATGCTTTCTTTTGTCATAAAAGGGCTGCAATCCTCTTGAGTACAACTTCATAATCAAAATTTGTATTTACCTATCAACAGAAAAAAGAAAAAGAACAGAGTTGGCTCCCCAGATTAAGTTGTACATGTGTTCATAATCAACAAAATTTTCTTAAGATTTTGAACGCTGCTCTTAATTTTGGCATCATCATTTTTGCACGTAATGTTCATTTACTTTTTTATTTTGTAGCATAAACACGGTATATTATATGGCTCCTTTTGCCACAATGATCTTGGCAGTACCAGCTTTACTACTGGAAGGCCCTGGAGTAGTGGCATGGTTGCAGACGGGTCCCCCACTTCTTTCATCCTTCTGCATTATTTTTGGTTCTGGTCTGTTGGCTTTTTGCCTCAATTTCTCTATCTTCTATGTCATTCACTCAACCACAGCAGTCACCTTTAATGTCGCTGGAAACCTTAAGGTACAAGCTATGCTCTTATTTTGTTTATTAATGCTTTTGGTTTGTTTCTTGTAAGAAAGTTTTTCATATATACATTTTCAGAGTCATGCATAGCCAGAGCTAACAATTTTATTGCCCGTGCATTTGCACTTCTAATAATTCTTTATTATCTGTTAGCTCATTTGATTTGGCATGTTCAATTGCATTTTGGTGGTTTGGTGCATTAACATTGCTAAACAACATGAATTTATAGATCTTATCATGACACATATGCATGTATACATGTGCCAAAATTATCTTAGGGACCAATACGAGCATATCTTGTAGGACGTTGCTTTTACCTGATCTCATCAACACTTAATAAGATGCTGACAAAGTAGAAATTTGATTCATTACTTAAACCTATGAAAGTGAAAATATGGATTGAACTTTTCAAATCAAGCTAATCTTGAGCTAGCCTTGATTGCATGTTAAATAAGACAATACAAACAAATATCTCATGAGTTGACCATTTCAAACACTGTCCACCTAATGTGTCTGCTTATGTTTTTGATGTCACTACGTTCCTTACCGAAGTAATGGCATCTAGATCTGTTATTGTCTTATATATAATGGTCTCCAGTTGATTAGAAAACTAAATGTACTGTTGTATTTATCAACGTTATTGTCTTTCAGTGAAAAATTCTTGTGAATATCTTTGCAGGTTGCAGTTGCTGTAACTTGTTCATGGCTTATCTTCCGAAACCCAATCTCAATGATGAATGCGGTTGGATGTGCTATAACGCTTATCGGGTGTACATTCTATGGGTACGTGAGGCACATGCTCTCACAACAAACTCCAGGCACTCCTCGGACACCTCGGACCCCAAGAAAAAGTATGGAGTTTGTCCCTCTAGTAAACGAGAAGTTGGAGGATAAAGTTTAGTGTCAGGTGTGCTTGAAACAGGAACTAGGTAAAACTTTGATATAGAAGAGAAGTATAAAGAAGAAACAAATCGTTCATTGTTGTCTAATTTACCGTTTAGGTATATCGAATTCTGGAACTCTTATTTAACTTATTTATTTACCTTCATACCCTGCTCCCAATTGGCTAGATTTGGTTTTTGTTTTTGCGTATAGAAGAGAAGCACAGAGAAATGGTTCTTTCACTTTTGTCTAATGTACCAATTAGGTAATTCCGGTACGAGTGATTTTATTTTGTGCCTCACACAACTTACACTACTTGTGTGGGGCTTTTTTTTATCTCACATATTTGTGTAATTTTTCCTCCAACAAACATTGGGACCCAACTTTTATGAGAAGGATTGTTGTATTTCGAGGCATAGTGTCTGGTTACTCAAAAAAATTCGACGTTAGATATTCTTTTCCCTTCAGCCTAAAAGATCAATTTAACCATCTCTGTATTTTGTGTCAAGTAATTCTATAACTAGACAAATATTCAGCACGGAGAGAAGGGAAAACTAGCTGATACAAGAAGTGTATTTCGCACAAATAACAAGTTTTCAGTTAGCATTTAGATATATAATATAAAATTACAGACCAGAAGAGAATTTTTTAGGGAATGCTACATTGGAAATACTACTGAAAGGTTTCTACACAAATTATTATCCATATTGTAGGTGAGTGATATTAATTACTAAACTAAAGCTGAATTAAGACTAGGCCAAGAGCCAGAAATTCTTCTGCCATCTAGTGCTGATAAGATATCCTCCCATGCCGTTGCTTTGCTTCCTTACTCCAATTGTCAAGCAATCCAATGTGTTGATGCATTGTTCCACAAATTCATCTTCACTGCTTGGCCCACACAGACTGTAGTAGTAGTAGAGTTGCAAAATTAAAGGAAAAATCATCATGTAAAAAATGAAGAGTTCGAAAATTAGTATTTTTCTGATTGTTATTTTGCTTAAAAATGTGAAAAGGAGAATATATATTCAGTACCAAGTAAGTAGAGAAGAGGGCTTTTTCTGACCCAAGACTAACACAGAGACCTCCAGCTTCTTCACTTGGCTCATTACAGTTGCCATCTTTGGTCCTTGTATTACTAGTGCTTCCACTTCAACCTTTTTATAAATAAAAAAAAAATGAAAATAGGTCATAATACTAACAAAAGAATTATGTCAAGCTTGTTTAGTAAATAGGAAAAAAAGAAAAAGAAGGCATAATAGGAGGGAAATGCAAAAGCCAGTGGAAGAAATTATTAGTAATGTGTTGTTTGTTTGGTTGAGAGAAAGAAACAAAGGATCTTAAAACCTTCTGAAAAGGAAAAGAAGAAACTGTCACTAGTAATGATTTCCCTCCTTTATTATTGTGTGCATTTGAAAGGAAAAGTAAGGACAGAAAAAATGCATTGAGCAGTGAGCACAAGAGAGAGAGAGAAAGAGGGGAAAATAGATAAAGAAATCTTCCCTCCTTACTTCAGCAGCCACCGGAAAAGGGAAAGGAAAATAAAGAAAAGATGGTAAATTTATCTATCAAAGACCAAAACCCCTCCCCACCAAACAGACAAAGTAAAAATAAAGAAGAAAAAAGCCTTCATCTTTTCATAGAACTAAAGATAATACTGCCTCCCCCCAAAATATATGAATTCAAAGGACCTTATTACTACCAATCTTTGGTTTCGCCTGATATCAAGGGACATTGTAATTTAAAACTTACCCATAAAAACACCGACAATACGTTAATCTTTTGCAGAACATTAGCACCTGAACACTGTTTGACAAACAAAACAGAACATGCAGAGGAACAAAATACAATTTGTGCACATTAATATTAGCTAATCTTTTACTACTCCTATTATTCACTAATTAAAACAGTTTAGACCTATTTACCAAACAAAATATTGGTATTCAACAACACAAACAACAAATCCAATGTAATAGGTCCGGAGAGGATAATGTGTACACAGCCTTCCACAGTAGACGGTCGGCTCAAAGCAAGCAAAATATAGGTATTTAACAAGAGCCAAGAAAAGGGACTTACTTCAGGTTTGCAAGCCTTACAAAGGGATCCAAGAGAGCTAGCAAGATGAGCGGCAGATGAAGATGAATCAGCTGAAGAAGAGCCCTTATTACTATTAGAAGAATGTGGAACAATGTGAAGTAGAGTTAGAATATCTCCTTTATTAGTAACATGTGTAAGTGCCCACATCATAGCATGTTTACTATGTGAACTCTGATCCACAACTACCATTACTCTTTTCCTCATTACCAAACCCCCACCATTATTTTGATACCCATTTCCTCCTCCTCCACACATATTGTTCAGCTCCTCCATTTGTTTCCAGTTATAACTCTGAAATCCTCCACCATTTCCAGTCCCGCCACCCCATCTTCTTGATGTTGATTTCCAGCCTTCTTTCCCACTTAGTTGCCTCAGAAATGAACTTGAACTCATTGTCATTTTCTTCCACTTTTACCACTTAAGGTTCATGTATTTTTCATTCAACACAAGAAAGTGCAGAGGTTTATGGGGAGAGAGGGTCTTTGGTGATGTAAAGCTATGGTTTTTAATGTTTATTTATTATTGGCTAGGTGTTGGGGGGGGGAGAGGGGGGTCACTCACGGGTATTACTCAGTGGCTAGTTATGGCAGTACACTACTCTGTGTGGGTGGGTGGGGGGAGAAATATTAAAGAAAAGGATTTAATATGCTGACAGTTTTGATGATGAAATGGTGGATTCTTTTTTCGTACCCTTTTTTTGCTTTTATAGCCTGACCCCGAATCTTTTGTACAATTTCCTTGAGCCAGATTTAGTACTCGTACACTCCATTCATTTTATGCAGTAGTACTATATTACATTTGATTAGACTAGAGTTTAAGGAGAAAAAAACGTTTTACACTTGAATAAAATTTATTCTTAGAACTTCTGATTTTAAATATATTAGTATAATATTTTTATACTCCTATAAAAATATCATTAAGATAAAATAAAAAATTAAAAGTTAACGATTTTTTTAATATAGAAAGCAGTAAGTAAGAAAAAAGATTAAATCATTGTCATGTAAAATGGAGTAGAGGAAGTAATATATATGTAAATAATTTGCCTGAAATAAGAAAATAGAATAAATTATTAATTTAAAAAAAAACAATTAAGGCATGATTTTAAGAGAAAAATTAGAAATTTTGAGCTAGTGGTAGAAGTCAGATCTATAATTTAAAGGGATTATGATCCGATCTGATATTAGCATAGGATTATCACCTTCGTGGAGATTGTTAAAACAACAACAACAATTCAGTAAAATCTCACTAGTGGGGTCTGGGGAGGGTCGTGTGTACACAGATCTTATCCCTACCCCTAAGGGGCAGAGATGCTATTTCCGAAAGGCCCTCGGCTCAAGAGAACGAAAAGACAAAAGTAAACAATATTAGTATCCACAGAAATCATAAGAAAATAGGAACAACATGAAATCCAAAAGAAAGATGCAAAGCAAAACCGATAGTTAGTAAATAGGTTCTGCACTAAAAATAGTAGTAAGACACAACATTGCCATTAGTTATCTCAGGCAAAAACCTTATCAGACTGTTCTCAAAAGGTATTAGTAATGCAAGACTCAACTACCTCCTAACCTATAACCTTAATACTCGACTTCCACAACTTCTTATCAAGTGTCATGTCCTCGGAAATCTGAAGCCTCGCCATATCATGCCTGATCATCTCTCCCCAATACTTCTTAGGCCTCCCTCTACCTCTTCTCGTTTCCTCCACAACTAGCCGCTCACACCTCCTTACTGGAACATATGGTCTTCTCCTCTGAACATGCCCGAACCATCTGAGCCTCGCTTCCCGCATCTTGTCATCATTGGGAGCCACGTGCACCTTCTCCCGAATATCATCATTCCTAATCTTATCCATCCTAGTGTGACCGCACATCCACCTCAACACCCTCATTTCTGCTAATTTCATCTTCTGGACATGTGAGTTCTTAACAGGCCAATACTCAGCCTCATACATCATGGCCGGTCTAAACATCGCTTTATAGAACTTACCTTTGAGTATCGGTGGCACTCTCTTGTCACACATGACTCCAGATGCTAACCTCCACTTCATCCATCCTACCCCAATACGATGTGTGACACCGACCCAAGGTACTTGAAGCTGCCTCTACTTGGGATGACCTGTGATTGAAGCCTAACATCCACTCCCACTTCCCCCAGGTCAGCGCTGAACTTACACTCTAGGTATTCCGTCTTCATCCTGCTCAACTTGAAACCCTTAGACTCAAGAGTCTGTCCCTAAACCTCCAGCCTCTCGTTAAGACCGAGTCGCGTCTCATCAATCAGAACTATGTCATCGGCAAATAGCAGGCACCATGGCACCTCCCCTTGAATATGGTGCGTTAACGTGTCCATCACCAAGGCGAATAAGAACGGACAGAGTGCAGAACCTTGGTGTAACCCTATTACAACCAAAAAATGGTCAGAGTCGCCTCATACTGTCCTAACCCGAGTCTTAGCCCCATCGTACATGTCCTTAATCGCCATAATGTACGGGATCAACACACCTTTTGCCTCCAAGCATCTCTAGAGAATTTCTCTAGGAACCTTGTCATACACTTTCTCTAGGTCAATAAACACCATGTGCAGATCCTTCTTCCTCTCTCTGTACAGTTCCACCAATCTCCGAACAAGGTGTATAGCTTCTGTAGTAGAACGACCCGGCATGAATCCGAACTGATTGTCGGATATAGGCACTGTCATCCTCATCCTCGCTTCAACCATCCTCTCCCACACTTTTATGATATGACTCAGTAATTTGATACCCCTATAATTATTACAACTCTGGATATCACCTTTGTTTTTATACAATGGAACTACCGTACTCCACCTCCACTCCACTCCTTCGTGGAGATTGTTAATGAACCAGTCTAATATTATTTAAAGTTTGTTAAAGAATTAATACTAGGTATTATTATTTGCAACTAGGTACTGAAAATAATATATAAATTATATACTATAGAATAAAATTATGCATTACTAATGTAATTTAATCACATATACCATGTTATTTACATTATCTTCAATTTACCAACTCACGTTTACTATACAATTGTATGTGTAAGTGAATATTTTTCACTGGATCGTTTCTTCTCATTTCCCTCTGGCCTCCCTATCCAAACAAATTACTAAAAGATACAAAAACTTAAAATCAATTAAAATAAATTCTCATCCCTCTGTCACATAAATTAAATCAAATACGAAATCATAATCCTTTGTTATCAGATCCTTTCCTTTTCCAAATATGAATCAAAATTCAGTGTCTTTAATTCATTTTTATGTACGTCCAATCTTAAAAATTAAGAATTAATGACACATTTTACTTCTTCAAAATGCAATCTTCCTCTTCAAAAGTTATCGCAAAAGATAAAAAGAAACAAAAGGAAAAACATACGACTTTTTACGCTTATATACGAATTGATTTTTTTTTTCCTTCTTGAATTATTAGGGGCAATGATAGCTCGCGGTACAAAGCTATTTACATTTTGCAATTGTAAAAGTATATAGTCAAATTTATGTTTGTTTGTATAACATACAAAAAGATGTATGTATAAAAAATATAATTTTTTCGATATTATTTTAAGAGCGTCTATATAATCTCATTATTCCAACTTCTTTTTTTCCTTTTCACTTTTGTTTTCATGACCCTTCATAGGCTCTTAGTCAAGGACCTTGAGATCACGAGGAAAAGGAGAAAGAGGGCAGGATCAAGTGGGGAGCCTTGACAAAAGCTAAAGCGCAGGAGTTGGGGGTCAAGCTGGTGACTATGGGGGCTTGGAGGAGCAGTGGGGATGCAAGCGCTATGTGGACCATGACTGAGTAGTGCATTAGGGAAGCTGCGACTGAGGTATTAGGAGTCTCAACGGGTTACTCTGGTGGTTACAAGGGAGACTGGTGGTGGAATGGAGAGGTGCAAGAAAAAGTGAAAACCAAGAAAGAGTGTATCTGAAGCTAGCGCAAAGTGTAGGCAAGGAGGAGAAGAGGCGGATAGGGAGCATTATAAGTAAGCTAAGAAAGAGGCAAAGTTAGCAGTTACGACGGCCAAGACTGCAGCTTTTAGTCGTTTGTATGAGGAACTCAAGGGTCGAGGTAGAAATAAGAGGTTGTTCAGGTTATCCAAGGCGCGAGAAAGGAAGGCGCGTGACTTGGACCAAGTGAAGTGCGTCAAGGATGAAGAAGGTAGAGTTCTGGTAGATAAGGAGCTTATCCGTCAGAGATGGCAGACCTACTTCCATAGTCTCTTGAACAAGGATGAGGACAAGAGCATTGTTCTGGGTGATTTGGAACTCTCCAGGAGTTGTTGTGACTTTGGGTATTGTAGGTGAATTAGAGTTGATGAAGTTGAGGGGGCTGTGCGTAAGATGAGCAGGGGCAAAAAGATTGGCTCGGATAAAATTTCGATGGAGTTTTGGAAGAGTGCAGGCAATGCAGGCTTGGAGTGGCTCACTAGATTATTTAATGTCATTTTTCGAACGAAGAAGATGCCCGAAGAGTGAAGGTGGAGCACAATGGTTTTTGTAGACAAGAACAAGGGTGATATCCAAAATTGCAATAACTATCAGAGTTTCAAGCTACTTGGTCATACTATGAAGGTCTAGGAGAGTGGTAGAGCTAAGGGTAAGGAATAATGTGTCTATTTTCGAGAACTAGTTTGGGTTTATGTCTGAGTGTTCGACTACATAAGTCATCCACCTTGTTAGGAGATTGATGGAGCAGTATAGGGAGAGAAAGAATGACTTGTATATGGTGTTCATCGACCTAGAAAAGACGTACAATAAAGTTCTGAGAGAGGTTTCGTGGAGACGTTTGGAGGCTAAAGGTGTATCTGTTGCCTACATCAGGTTGATTAAGGACATGTACGATGGAGTAAAGACCCGAGTAAGGACGGTGAGTGGGGACTCGGACTATTTTTCTGTTATGATGGGGTTGCATCAGGGGTCGGCACTCAGCCCTTTTTTGTTTGCTCTGGTGATGGATGTACTGACGCGCTATATCCAAGGGGAGATGCCGTAGTACATGCTATTTACAGATGATATTGTACTGATTAACGAGACTCGAGACGGTGTGAACGCGCAATTAGATGTATGGAGGTAGACCCTGGAATCTAAAAATTTCAAGTTGAGCAGGACTAAGACAAAATACTTTGAGTGTAAGTTCAATGATGAGGTTGGACTCACAGGTAATCCCAAGAGAGGGAGTTTTAAGTACCTTGGTGTATCATTCAGGGGGATGGGAAGATTGATGAAGATGTACACATCGTATTGGGGCGGGATGGATGAAATGGGGACTCACTTCCGATGTTTTATGTGACAAGAAGGTGCCACCAAAACTTAAGGGTAAGTTCTATAGAGTGATGGTCAAACCAACGATGTTGATTAGGGCTGAGTGTTGGCCAGTCAAGATCGCTTATGTCTATAAGATGAAGGTAGCAGAGATGAAAATGTTGAGATGGATGTGCAGACACATCAGGTTAGATAGGATCAGAAATGAGGTTATTCGCGACAAGGTGGGGGTGGCCCCTATTGAGGACGAGATGCGTGAAGTGCAGCTTAGGTGGTTTGGTCGTGTGAGGAGGAGAAGTACAGATGTCCCGATGATGAGTTGTGAGAGGTTGACATTTGAGGGCCTACATAGAGGTAGAGGTAGGCCAAAGAAAAGGTGATGAGAGATGATTATGCAAGACATGACGCAACTTCAGCTGACTAAGGATGTGACCCTTGATAGGAAAGTATATAGGTCGAGGATCAGGGTAGTAGAGTAGGTAGTATAGAGTATTCATAACAGTAGTATTGCCACGTAGTCTCGCTTTCTGTGGGCAGTAGGTTTTTATGACTAACCGTTATTTTCTTTCATTGTTGATTACCTTACTATCTTGTTGTTTTTATTATGCTTTTATATGGCTTTTTGGTACTGTCCCTTTTTGTCTATATTTTTTTATATTAAGGTGGTGCTTATGCTTTCTTGAGCCGAGGGTCTATTAGAAACAGTCTCTCTATTCTTACAAGGTAGGGATAAGGTCTGCATATATATTATCATCCCAAACCTTACGGCGTGGGATAATATTGGGTATGTTTTTTTTTTTTTTTTTT